ACGTTGAATAGTTAAGCAGCCTTCCCCATTGATTGAATAAACAAAATAAATTTCAGACTTGCTGCACCATGAGAAGTTGATATAATTGATCGCTCCAACTCATAATCTTTTCTTATAGTGCTGTTTGCCCTTGCGTTTTTCGCTTGATTAGGAACCTGAAAATTGGTATACGAGAGCATAATAGACAATGTTAAGCAGATCATGATTGAAAATGGTCATGTGTAACCACGGGTAAACCATTCAAGCGGTTATTATGTTAATACTCACCACAAACCCAAATAAATCCGCGAGGAAAAATGTTGCGCAGCCATTCGAAGGGCGCGCCTTTTCAATTGTTGAAAATAAATTGGCGACTGAGTTCATTTCATCATACCTCTTCACCGTATCAACAGGTCACGAGATGTGAAGAAGTGGACAAAGTGATCGGGTGGAGTAGGTGTCCCTTGTTTTCGGTCATCGTACAGCGAAAGTCACCGAAATTCGCTGATCGCTGCCAAACTCGCAAAGCATGCACTCAGTGTTAATATGTAAGATGAACGGGGATTGTCTTCCCCGGGCTGATGCCCAGAATACTTTGTAAATGGTTGGTAGGGTACACCGAAGGATGTGACCGCGAACAGACAGCAGTGGTGTTTTGGTTAATTCTTTCAGGTCAAAATGCTCGTAGGGGTGGTCATGCACAATGAGTCAGTGTATTCTTTATATTCTTCATGTAGGTTCGCCTTCCTTTCGCTTCCCACAGAACAGTTCCATGCTCAATGCGTGTTACGCATTTGCTTTTACTTTTCGTTTATTGCACATTTATCAGCCATTAGTGAAATTCGCTTTACCATATTTTCTTGTATACTGTTGCTGCGGCTGCTAACATTTCTGTAAAATATCATGAGTAACTAATAAGTATAGCCTCCAACTGATCACATGTTCGAAGAGTTTTTCGCATGGATGTCTTTCTATCGTATGCATCCTTCAAGTACAGCTGCTAGTTAATGAACACCGCTTACTCAGCCAGTTAGATAGCCAGATTTCTTAGCACTAGAGGTAACATTTTCCCCGTACGTGGTTACTCAGATCCTTCATTCGGTTCAAGCGCCGCTGCAACTGATGGCCATTTGATCTTTGATCAACAAATTCGCTTTTATTCACAATAGAAACTCTGGCACATTAGTGTTGTCGGTTAAATGAGAGAATTCATAAATCCATCCACTGTTTCAGTTTCTCATTTTTCTCGTTTGTCAAAGAATAATCGCTCTCCCACCGGAAAGTTAACGTTATTTCAGATGAAAGAATGCGAATCAATGTTAGTGTGGGAAAAATTAGTTTCAGCGGCGGTAAACTGGAAGCTGTCAAGACTACTATCACGCGAGGCCTGGACCGACGCAAGCGTAGGGGCCGAGGTATTTTCATTTCTATGTTAACAGTGGTTGACTAGGTCACTTGACGCCAGCCCCGGGCAACTTGAAAAGTAGCTGTGCAAATGGTCTTGTAAAATTGTGATACAGTAAAACGAAGGCGAACGTTTACAGGTATAAACACCAAAAACAGAACGATTGTAAGCAGTCACCGATTAAATACCCGTTCAACGTTCAGTCGGTATTAAACATTGGGCGAAGTGCAATCGGAAGATATTTCATTTACCAGCAGACTACTTAAATTACCACAGTAACCAAAGCGTGAACACAAAAAATCCAAACTTTTGTTCGAAATATTTACCTTATTCTGTTGAATATCATGTTTCTTGTTCGCCTGTAGATCTGTTCATTACGTCTGGAAGAAACTGTTTTCTCAATGTATCTTTGTGCTTCGTACGTTCTGTCCTAAAAGGTACTGCATTGATTGACAATATATCTCCTCTTTCACTTCCAATATCTTTGTCGTTATACGGTCCAACTCTGTCATTGTACTTCGTTTTCTTTCTCGGATGAAAATGAATTGTGTGTTCACGTTTTTTGCGTTGTTTCGGTTTGTTGGAGTTATTTGAACGGAATCAAAATCAAAGGGAAATTAAA